AGAAGGTTACCCCTCCCCAAAAAAACAAGCCCAGAAAATACAAGAACTTAAAAAATTTAAACTGCGAATGCAACAGAACAAAACAAGCTGTATTAAGTGCGTCCTGGTAAAATAAAAGAAGTTTCCTATGAGACTCCACTGAATGCGAGTTGGCACCATTGGCACTGGTGATAGTTCCAAAGGCTTGGTGCTGCTCAGTTTGTTGCCTGTTCCTGCTAGTGTGGGGAAGCTCGAGGCTCTAAGAGTGCACAAGACTTGCTACAGGTCGCCCTACAGCCTTTTCAGACATTGCCTCTCTGTTGTTGCTCATGCGTGTCCTATCTGAGAGAACTGTAGGCCATTTTGTTGCTTGTTACTGACCACAAAACTTCTCTGTCAGAACTTGATTGTCGCAATGAGTGCTGAAGGTTGGTTTCATCTGTTTGACCTCACGCCTCCACTCTCAAAGCACCTGGATACCCCTGGCCATCATGAGGTCTCGACTGATGACCAGAAGCTGGGATTCAAGCAGCACATTCCTGCCAACACCAAAGTCATGTTGATCAGTGATATTGGTGAGCAAGGACATTGGTGCACACTGTCGTAGGGAAGGGGGGCAGAGGGTTCCACCTGAGTGGGTGGGAAGAGGGGCACAAGCCTGCATGGGAGCGGATGTTCCCCAAGTGCCCCTTCCTCTCGTGACCTCAGCTGTTCTACAAAGACCTGAGAAGGAATGTCGGGGGGATTCCTGAGTTCGTTATGTTGACCCCTTTTCTGTATTGGACTAGAACTGGAGTAAACAAGTCTGCCGTTGTCTTATCCCACTATCTAAAACTGGTCACCCACTGATTAGAAGAAGAAGAAGAAGAAGAGGAGATTGGATTTATACCCTGCCCTTCACTACCCAAAGGTGTCTCAGAGCGGCTTACAAACTCCTTTCCCTTCCCCTCCCCACAACAGACACCCTGTGAGGTGGGTGGGGCTGAGAGAGCTCTGACAGAAACTGCTTTTTCAAGGACAGCTGTGCCAGAGCTTGTGACTGACCCAAGGTCACATCAGCAGGTGCAAGTGGAGGAGTGGGGAATTAAACCCGGTTCTCCCAGATTAGAGTCCGCACACTTAACCACTACACCAAACTGGTTAAGTTGAACGGTCTGCTAATTGAGCCTTGAAGCTTATTGGGAGTATGTTTGAATAACCTTATTCTGAGCAAGCAACTTGGGTTTCTTTGGTTATGGAATGTAGCATTTTCTGAGTGCTTGAGGCAAGCTTTTTGTCTCTGTTTTTGTGCTCTCCACAGATGGAGATGGGAAGAATGAGCTAGTTGTGGGTTATACAGACCGTGTGGTGCGAGCCTTTCGCTGGGAAGACTCCTCTGAGAGTTCGGAGAATATTTCTGGGCAACTGGTACTGCTCAAGAAATGGCTGCTGGATGGACAGGTAGGAAGTGCTGTGTGCACATAATACCACCTGTGTGGAAACATGACCTTCAGAAACCAGGATGCCACAGGGACAGCGGCAAGAAGCATCCTAGCAGACAAAGCCCGCAGACTTGTGGTTGCTGTATTAGAACATCAGGAAAGTCCTGCGAGATCAGGCCTAGTGGTTCATCCAGTCCAACATCGTGTTTCCCCCAGTGGCTGACCAGATGGCCTAGAAGGCCCAGAAGTGGGGCATATCACTATGTGCCAGATTTCAAAAGAACTTCAGTATTTTCTGTAACCTGTCCTAGCAGTGCAATAACACTCTGTCAGCGTCTCCCTGGGGTCTGGACGGTCCTGGGGGTCGGGGCAGGACCAGGGTCAGAGAGGAGAAGGTTTCAGGTTGGACGTTGCCTGAGAACGCCACCCGCCAGAGTTCCTTCACGTCTATGGTCTCGGCACATACAAGTGGATTGGGTCTAAAGAACCCGCGACTCCCTCCTCGCATCCCACTGCATAGAGACCAGGTGTGTCCTCATTGGCAAGCGTCCTCGCCTCCTTTATCCTCCTTCCACCTGGCCCGCCCCACCTTCCGGGTCTTAAAGCAAACAAGCCATGGGGCTGAGGCTGACCCCAGGCTCACTTCCCCCACCACTCCTCTTCCCTGACAGGCCATCGTCCGTGTGTGTGTGTGTGTGTGTGTGTAAGTGAGCTCCCCTTCCCCCATGCCCTCCTGATCTGGTAGGGCTGCCCCTGGCTGGGTGGCACAGGAGGATCCCAGGCCCCTCAGGGAACCCTCGCAAGGACCCTTCTGTGTTTTGGCGTCGGAAGGTGGGTACTCCAGAATGGACTTCTTTGTGGGGCCGAAAGGATCCTCGCCCGCCTCGTTCCTCTCAGATTCAGTTTTGTAGAGTGAGCTCTGCGCCCCCTTTCCACAGTCTGCTGGGCTGTTGAAAGGCAGGAGGGGGTCGGGAGGAGGCCCCTCCTGACACACTCTTAATCTCTGCACCTAAAGTAGTCCATGTTCAACATCCAAAACAGCCATAACTAAGGAGCTGCACTAGTTATCAGGTATGTGAACTTGCTGTAGTATCTAGTGTGGGCTGGTAGACTGATACCTGGGTAGGGACAGTTATGTGGGCCATGGAGGTTTTCTGTGGCCAAAGAAGGAATAAAAAGTGGAGCATGAGGATGTGGTTGGCTGGAGAGGTAAAGACGTGATTCACAAAGAGACAGACCTGCCTCTCACCTTTCTTCAGCTGCTGGGGCTCAGTGTGGCAGCCTGATTTAGCTTGCATTTCTGTGATTTTAGTATTGTTGTGACTCTGGAGTCCCTCAGAAACGTGTGGAAATGTTTGGCCAGTGCTGGATGACATAATCTGCAGTGCAGGTTGTCATTCCAAGACCTACTTTAGCCAATTTCAATTCAATTCAAATACCTTTTATTGGCATACAATATTAGAAGCATTTACCAATAATACAATCCAAAAGAAATTATAAAATAGATAGTCGTGGCTATGTCAGGCCTAACTCAAGTTGTCACAAGCTAGATTTGACCATACAAAAGATGCCTGAATCATAAAATAAATTGGCCTTCTAAACTTTTAAACTTAAGTTTTTAGACTTATAAATTAAGAATCATTAATATGATCAGGGTCACTCTTCCGTTTTATAAAACCATGGAGAAACTTAGCGGTCAGTTCAATGATCTCCGGATCTTGTGAAGCAAGGAGAAATTGTACCTTGATTCTATCCGACTGGCCTGCTACCAACCTAAGGGGGGCTTCTGTAAATTTCACTCGAATGTCATTTAACAATTTACAGTGTAAGAGTACGTGCTCAACAGTTTCCATCCCTACTTTAGCCTTTTCTTTCCTGATCAGTTCTCTGTTCTTGTAGAAAGCAGGTATTTGTGCTCTGATCCCTCTTCTTCTGAAGGCAAGTGACATTCCAGCTGGCTTCCTTTCTCCCTTTCTGTGCTGGAGCAGGTGGACAGCCTCTCTGTGAATCCTGGCCCTGATGGTGCTCCCGAGATGCTCGTGTCCCAGCCTGGCTGTGGCTATGCAATTCTGCTCTGTACTTGGAAAGCAGATCACCGGCACCCAGCAGAGGGGGGGGCAGACCGTGCTGCAGCTAGCAGGTGAGTCTCCTGGAAGCCAGTGAAGCCGGCAAATGAGGCCACCCCCAGCAGCATCAGTGATTGCGGTATCTCTGCATGTAGGTTATATGTGTTGTTACTGAAATGTTTGGGAAGAACAGATTCCAAAATCATCTTGTCTCAGAACAATTTTATTTTATGTCAAACACACAAAAACAGATAAACAGATATACTTACAAACATTCAATGGGAGAATCTATCCATCTCTTTGAATTATCTGTTAAGTTATCCATACATCTCTAAGTAAAAAGTATATTTCTACACCTTATATTGTTATAAATGTTCTTGTTGTCCTCTATTTCAGTTGTGTACACACTTCATTTAATGTATTCTTCAATCCATCTGTAAAATTTTTACCATGTATTTTCAAGGTTTTCCTCTTTTTGTCCTTTCAGAATTAAAGGTTGTTTTTTTAAGTACCCGAAGGTACACCTTTATTATTTTCTTATATACCTACACACAGACATAAACAACTACAACAAACAACATATAGGCCAAGAGACTTATTACAATTTGCTACTACCTCTACATCATCACTTCATTATTCTCCAACATTTGCTAATATTCTCTAATTCCATTATTATAAATTGCTACACACTCCAATGTTAATTTTACCATATCAGCTTAATCTTTAAATCCATTCTCATTGTACCAATCATATTAAAGTTAATTTATCCATTTCAGCAGTTTCAAGTAGTTTGATTATTATTTCTTCTTTTGAAGGTGTCTCCTTTCTTCTCCAATATTTAGCATACAATATTCTAGCAGTTGTAACTACATGTAAAGTAAGATAAGAATCCTCCTTTTTACAATTTTCTTGAAGTATATTCAGTAAAAACAATTCTGGTACAAAGGGTATGTTACTTTTAAATTTTTTTTGCAATACTTCATGTATCCAAGCCCAGATTTTTTTACTTTTAGCACAAGTCCACCACATATGAAAAAAGAACCAACATTCTTTTGGCATTTCCAGCAATCATTTGACATATTGGGATAAAATTTTGACAATTTATCTGGCGTATTATACCATCTATAAAACATTTTATAAATGTTTTCTTTATAAGAGGTTGCTTTAGTAATGTTTATATTTGTTTTCCATACCTTGGACCATTGATCTAAATCGATACTGTGCCCCAAATTTTGTGCCCATTTAACCATAGAACATTTAACCACTTCATCTTGGATTTTAATTTCTAACATTATAACATACAGTTTCTTAATAAGCTTATCAGTATAAATGATTCCAAAATCATCTGACAGAACTATGCCGTGTATAGGCAGGGCTATTTTTGGGCAGGAACGCACAGGAACGGAGTTCCAGCTGGCTCCCAAGTTGGCCACGCCCAGCAGAAACTCATTAGCATAATAAGCCACACCCAACAGCAGAAACTCATTAGGATTAACTACATTCGGGGGGTGTGGCCTAACATGCAAAGGAGTTCCTGCTACAAAAAAGCCCTGGGTTTTGACAACAAACAAGGTAAACAGAATAACAAGCAAAGGTGGGTGTGGCTGGATAACCACACTTCTGGTAACATGGGGGTGCGGCCTAATGTGCTAATGAGCTGTGCTGTCAGGGGTGTGGCCTAATATGCTAATGAGTTTCTGCTGTTGGGTGTGGCCTATTATGCTACAAAAAGAGCCCTGTGTATAGGCATTGCTTAGTGGCTTTTACTTGTCAGTAGTTAAGCATTATGTCTAAAAAAGGTAGGGAGGGGTGCAAGGAGTTGTGGAGGCATCTTATTTTCCCCTCCCCCACTATTTCCTGTTTCCCTTCTCCAAAAGCCCCCATATCCCCTCCCCTTTCCCTGCTTCCTTCTTCCTACCCACCAACCAGATTATCTTTTATCTGTCTCCAATATGGAGCAATATTTATTACATTCATTTATAACCCACCTTTCCCTGCAATGGAGACCCAAGAAGCTTATATCATTCTTCTGTCATCCATTTTATCCTCAAACATTCCTGTAAGGTAAGTTAGGTTGAGAATGTGTAATTGGGCCAAGGTCACCCAGTGAGCTTCCACAGCAGAGTGGTGGTTCAAACCTGGGTCTCCCAGATCCTAGCCTGGAACTTTAACCACTGCACCACACTGGCTTTCTTGGGGCAGCTGCTGTAGAACAGTAGCAAGAAGCCGGGCCTGGGTGAGGCATGCAGGTCAAATGGTAGCAAGTCTACCATTGGTTGCTGTCAGGCCTGGCCCAGATGAATCCTCATTCACAAGTCAAAACAGTCCTGGAAAGGGCCCTGCCCATTACTGACAGAAACTAAGGCTTGAAGGTTGACAATATTGTTGTGGTTGCCTATCAGTGGCAACTGGGAATGTACACTTCTTAAAGTTACAGGTATAATATTTCTATTATATGGTGGGTAACCGCCCAGTGTGAGTGGGTGGGGGGTTTAAAAAAAAAAAAAGATTTCAGATTTTTCTGCAAACCTGCAGCATTTTCCCAGTATGCTGAAAGAGCTATCCTGTCTTTATATAGTTATAAACTCTGGATTTAAATATCCACAGATTTGGCTGTGTTGAGAATTAGATATATAAACCATAGTTAAGGTTTGGCTGCAAACCAGGATGTGAAATTATTATTTGAAGTGGGTTTGCATGAACCATGTTTTATATGAACCAGTAAATGTTACTTCTATTTTATATTTATTTATTTATTTATGAGAGTTTTATTCCACTCTCCCCCGCAAGCTGGCTCAGGGCGGGGTACAATGTACCAACAAACACATAAAAGCAATTTATATAATTTAAGATAAAATATCTCCTGTCTATCAATGCTGAGCAAACCATGGTTGAAGCAGTTTTCCCCCACGTCTCTTCAGAATGACAGCCCTGCTTGGCTAGCGTCTTTCTGTAAACATCTCTGAGAGCAAGCTGTAGTTTCACCGTGTGCTTGAATCATAATTAGGGTTAAAATGACAACCCGTGGTTAGCATTAACTAGAGTTAAGCACTATGTCTGAATTGAGGTGACCGCTCTCCTTTTTTCCAAGCCGGCTCAGATACAATGTTAGGCAGATACAATGTCCTTTTCCTTTATAAACCATGTTGAGCATTATATCCAAATAACACTGTTTAGATTTGTTTTAGCTGCTGCCAGAGAATCTAAATTGTAAATTGGTTCTCAATCCAATGCTGTTTTAGCGCTGTTTCAGTGGTATTTGTGTGTGCAAAATGAGATGTTCCTGATTAACCGATCCTGGCAGGGCAGGACGGGTCCCTGTGGGGAAGAGGCAGGGCAGAGATGGGGAGGGAACCGCGCGAGGGCAGAGCTGCACTGGGCAAGTGAGGCGTGCATTCATCGGGACATTTACATCAAAGCACGAGATTAAAACGAACAAAATTAACATTGAATCGTGTCCTGTTCCACACATTCTCTGTTGGTCATTTTTTCTGATAACAGACTGTGCTAGACTTCTGACCACTGGGATATTGTCTGGGCCTGCACTTCCCCCGTATTTGGGATGCAGGAACAGAAGGCACCGCTCCGCTTCATCCTCTTGCGCTGGAAGCCTACTCACTCCTCTGCGTTCCTGGGCAGAGTCTGTGTGGGGCAGGAGGAGGCCCGGTGCCGTTCTCCTTGCTGCAGCTTTGGCCTTCCTCTTCACGCCACCGTCACACCCAGTCAGGCCCAGATCACTCTCTGTAGGTCTGGTGACCCATCAGACTCCCCTCCGACACCACATTTCAAATGAATCAACCTTCTTCCTTTCAGCTTTCTTCACTGTCCAATGTCCACATCCATAATGGGGGGATATAGGAGGAAAGTTGTGAATTATCTTGGTCTTGGTCTCCAGCAGCAGCTCCTTACACTTCAGGTTCTTTTCTGGCTTCTTCATGGCTGCCCTTCTTCGTCTCAGTCGCCATCTGATCTCTTGATTGCACTGTAGCTTTTGATTGATGACTGAGCCAAGGAATAGAAAATCTTTAATACTTTCCAGTTCTTCATTGTCAGCCTTAAAGCTGCGTGATTCCTCAGTAGTCATTACTTTTGTCTTCTTGACGTTGGGCTGTAATCCTGCTTTAGCACTTTCTCTTCTACTAGTCACTTGCTCCGTGTTCCTTCACACTGTAAAATGGAACAAGTGGCTCGTGAATTTCTGTGTAACACTTTTGTAGTTTGGTTTGTATCGCTGGGTTCTACCTACCCTATGGACAGAAATGTCCCTGCTTCCCTTTGGGAGACACGGGAGGGGATGGGAGCAGCCCCCATATTCTAACACACAGGATTTTACCACTGCCTGGGCTTCCAGATACCCTTTTCAACTTTGGGTGTTGGTTTCTTCTAGGGAAGCCCCAGTCCGGGATGTTATTCTCCACCAGACATCGGGTAGAATTCATAACAAGAATGTTTCAACCCATCTTGTTGGCAACATTGGCAAAGGTAAGTGGCAGAAATTCTGGGCCTGGCAAAATGAGGAAATGTATGTAGATGAATTCTAGGCTCATTGCCTTATCTGTTTACATTAGTTCTAGTCTACCTTTCTCACTTGGACTCCGGGCAGATTACACAGTGTGTGTGAGTCCATACCACCAGCGGACGGGGCATTCAGTGAACGGTGCGGTAGGATTAGGGCTGTCGGATCGACCAGAAGTCTGAAAACAGAACTGCAGCAAAGCAGCGGAGTTAACGTGACGCGTTAAATGATGCCAACTGCCGTGGCAGGATTCTCATCTCAGCAAGCTGTGCCCCGTGGTACCCAGACCACAGTCCCTCACCGTTTGCCCGAGGAACTTTGTGGCTCACTTAGTACAGTGCGACTCTGTGGCCCGTGTCAGACAGCCCTCTTGCGTGGTGAGCGCAGGAGCCCTCCGGACCTCCTCGGGCCTGCTGCTCCGTGCGGGGGGTGGCACAGTCGGGGAGGCAGCGGATTTGGCCCCTGTGCCGGTTGGTACCCGCAGAAGGCCCTGCTACACGGGTGGAGCGGAGGAGGGGGGTAGGGAGGGTCCGAGGCCATGAAGGGCTTTGTCCGTGGAGCCCGGGAACAGATGGGCAGCCAGCGAAGTGCCTGCAGGATTCCGGCAGTGCTACGGGTGCTCCCTCTAGCTCCCGGTAATAGCCGGAGTTTCCAAACTGGTTTTGCAGGGAGAGCAAGGCACAGCGCACTGCAGTAGTCTAGTCTGGTTACTTTGGCGTGGCTCCAGGTGGCCAGCTCAGCCGTAGCAATGTGAGGGGCTCTCTTTTCGGCTAGGCTGAGTTGGAAGAAAGCCTTTTATGCAGCTGCATTAACTTGCTTCTCCTGTAATAATGCTGGGTCCAGTGTAACCCCAGGTCTCCCAATGGAGTCAGCTAGGGTCAGCTGAATTCCATCAGAGGTGGGGAGAACAGTGTCCGAGACCAGCCCCTTCCCAGCCAGCATTTCTTCTGTCTTTTCAGGGTTTCGTTTCAATTGTTCCCTCGTAGCCAGTTTATCACGGCAGTCAGGTCCTCTACCACGTCACCAGGGGATTGGGATAAGAATATATAGAGCTGGGTATTGTCTGCATTTTGATGGCATCCAACACCAAAGCTGTGAAGGATTTGTGCTGAGGAGAAGGGGGGATAGAATTGTGCCCTGTGGAAATCTACAGAGTAGGTCCCATACTGATGACTGCTGGTTTCCCACACCAACCCTTTGAGTCTAGTTGTGAGGAATGGTTTGAACCAGTTTAGCACATGTCCCCTGGTACCTATCTCTTTCTTCAAGCACCTTAACAAGAAGGTGTGATCTACTGTATCAAAGGCTGCAGATAAATCCTGTAAGAGCATCAGAGAGGTTTGTCTACACTCAAATGAAGGTGATCGACTAAAACTAGCAGAGCTCTCTGTCCCGTAGCCTGGCATGAAGCCAGACTTCAGCAGACGAGTTATCCAAGAAGACCTGGAGTTGGTCTGCTACAATTCTCTCCATCACTTTTCCAAGAAATGGCAGGTTAGAGACAGTATGATAATTGGCCATGTCATTTTTCTGCAGGAATGGTGTTTAAAGTAGGAGATGGATAGCTGCCTCTTTTAGCGGCTGGGCAAAGGTGCCCTGAGTTAGTGACTGGTTTATAATAGCTGTTAAGGGTTTGTTGATGTGGTTCTTGCATGATTTTAGCAGCCAGGATGGGCACAGGTCCAGAGTGCAGGTCCAGAGTGGCCTCCACCGACCCCAGGATTTTGTCAACATCCATCGCAGGAACTGGGACAAAATGATCCATGGACAGACCAGATGGTGTATTAGTCCTGTCTTCTGGTGTGTCTGTGCTACAACTGATACCCAGGTCAGAGCATATTCTCAATATTTTATCAGCAAAAAAGTTGGGGAAAGTATCACAGCTAATTGTCTCTTCTTGAGACAATAAAGCCTCAAATTTTGGCATCAGCAGTTGCTAAACTACCTTGAACACTTGTGATGGTGGGATCGCCATGTTGGTCTGAAGCAACAGAGCAAAATGTGAGTTGAGTGGCACCTTTAAGACCAACGAAGTTTTATTCAAGATATAAGCTTTTGTGTGCACACACACTGCTTCAGATACATTGAAATGGAAGTTACCAGTCCATACGTATAGGTAGAGGATGAGCAGCAAATTAGCATACAACATAATGAAGATGTGCAAGGACCAAACAGGAATAACAAGCGTAATTGGTATAGTCACCATTTCTTTGGGTTTAATTAGGGAAAATTAACACAGTGGAGCAAATAAATATATCAAAATTTGAGATTGATGTGTAAATGTACCCTTCTTAGTTGTGGGATGCTGAGAGTAATTAACTGAGACAAGGTTGTTACGCTCCACCTGTCTCCTCTCAAGCATGGAGGTAGCTTTTCTTTAAGGTGGGGTGACTGGTTGTGCAGTGTTATGTCTCCTCTGTCAACAGCCAAGAGAAATACATTCCAATCTTACCATTCCAAATTACATTACGTTCTACTATTCATTGTATTACATTTACCGTCACTATTCCAATCTACTTTTCCAAATAAGAAATACAATAAAAAGAAACAACAAAATAAAAAGGATGTATGGCCCTTTTTGGTGAGAATACAATAGTGAGGACTGAACGAGATTAGCATATGTAGTGAGATAAGAAACCAGTGTCCTTGTTTAGTCGTTGGGGTTTCATTGTTCTGAGTATCGTAATCACTTGTAATTCAGCAATTTCCCTTTCCATTCCGTTCCTGAAGCCCCTTTGCAATAAAACAGCTACTTTGAGGTCATCCACTGAACGTCCTGGAAGGCCGAAGTGTTCCCCTACAGGTTTCTCAGTCTTGTGTTTCTTGATGTCAGATTTGTGTCCATTTATCCTGGCGTACCTGTTTGCCCTGTGTCGGGAACGGAAGGGCATTGTTGGAATTTAATGGCATAAACAATGTTAGAAGTTGAGCAAGTGAATGAGCCTGAGATGGCGTAGTTGATGTTGTTAGGTCCGGTGATTGTGTTGTCTGGGTGTATGTAGCACTAAAGTTGGCATCTGGGTTTATTGCAAGCTCTGGTCCCAGTGTCCATGTTCAAGTTACATGCTGAAGAAATGAGCAGTGACTCATGAAAACTCATACCCTGCCACATATTTTGTTAGTTTTTAAGGTGCTACTGGACTCTTGCTCTTTTCTATTATTGTGGATGAGGAGTTGTTTAAGATTGGGGGGCTGTCTGTGTGCAAGAAAAGATTTCCCCCCCAGTGTTTGTGAAAGAGAGCTGTCATTATTTAGTAGAGATTGTAAGTCATTGATGATGCATTGAACTGTTTTGAGTTGAGAGCCAAATGTGACTACTAGTAGTGTTCTGTTATTGTCTCTTTTGGCCCTGTCTCCTAGTAGCCTTTCTCTGGGTATCATTCTGGCTTTATTAATTTGTTTCTGTTAATCTGTTTCTTGACTTCATCAGGTGGATATTTTAGTTCCAAAAAGGTTTGTTGTAGATCCCTCTGGTGAGAATCTCTGTAGGACTGGAACAGATGTGGTTGTAGTGTACAGCCTGACTGTAGAGTAGACAGTAGATTGTTTGGTATGTTTAGGATGGTAGCTGGATGCTGTTAGTTACCTCCATGCTTGAGAGGAGACAGATGAAGCATAACAACAAGGTCTCAGTTAATTACTCTCAGAATTCCACAATTAAGATGGGTACATTTACACATCAGTCTCAAATTTTGATATATTTATTTACTTCACTATGTTTTCCCAAAAAAACTGAATCCAAACAAATGGTGACCATATAAACCAGGGATGGCTAAACTGTGGCTCAGGAGCCGTATGCGGCTCTTTCACACACATTGTGCGGCTCCTGGCAGGCTTCCCATCTATTTGCTTTCTTTCTTTCTCTCTTTCCTTTTGTCTCTCTTCCTTCCTTCCTCCCCCTCCTTTCCCCATCTATTTGCTTGCTTTGTTTATCTCTCTTTCATTCTTTCTTTCCACCTTTTTAATTCTTTCTTTCCATCTCTCTCTCTCTCTCTCTCTCTCAGACAAATGTCATAGCAAACAAATATCATTATAAATATGTTTTTACCCGTTTTGTTTTTATTTTTGGCAGTCTCATTTAATGTTAATAAAAAACAAATTTCCATGTTTCTCAATAAAAAGGTGTGTGTAATATTTGTTCACATCTTGCGGCTCTCAAACATCTGACGTTTATTCTGTATGGCTCTTACATTAAGCAAGTTTGGCCACCCCTGATATAAACTAAGCTTGTTATTCCTGTTTGGTCCTTACATCTGTTAAACACCTTTATTATGCTGTATGTTAATTTGCTGTTCACCTGTATGTATGGACTGGTAACTTCCATTTCAATGTATCTGATGAAGTGTTTGTGCACACGAAATCTGACATCTTGAATAAAGTTTTGTTGTGCCACTGGACTCAAACTTTGTTCAGTTGAGATGTTGTGAGCTAGTTTGTTTTTTTAAACAACATTTTATTGAATTTCAACAGGTTTTATAAAGCAGAAACAGTTTTTACACAGGTATAACGACAATAAGAACATTAACACTAGTATCGACTATGAGAGGTGAATGACAACACTGCCTATGTAAGAAAGAAAAAAGAGAACTCCAAACCTAATAACTTCATGAACCAGTAGCAGTAGTTTCCGGATCTTATAAAAGCATTACCTCAGTATTATGCAGAGCCCATTTTCACAAATAAACTTATCTGCTTCTACTTTTTCTAAGAAAGGAAACCATTTGTCTAATGGGTCTAGCATTAGCCTCATCATTACTGTTCTATCCGAATACACCGCACACTTTTCTAGGGTAAAATAATCCCATACTTTGCTTAACCACTGGTCTAGTGTGGGGGGCTTTTCATTTTTCCAATACTGAGCAATGGTTGCTTTCGCCGCTGTTAATAAAGTTAGAATCAGATCTTTACGGATCCTGGGGATCTGCACCTCATCTAAAAAGTTCATTGCTTTCGCCGCTGTCAATAGAGTTAAAATCAGATCTGTACGGATTCTGGGGATCTGAGCCTCTTCCAAAAGGTTTAGCAGAATAATGGCTGGATCCATGGGGATACTGCAGCCTGTAAAGTATTTTATGAATTGCAGTATTTGTTTCCAGAAATTCTGGACGTGGACACATTCCCACCACATGTGAATAAAAGAACCCTTAGAACCACATTTCTTCCAGCATAATGGGTTTATGGTAGAGAACAGATGTGAGCTAGTTGACGGTATAGCAGCAGAGTATAGGATAATAACATTTGCTGCCATAACAGCCACTTCACAGGTATTCCAGTGGGTTCTATAGCATAATCTGTCAGATTTGGTATGGGTACGTTCAAGGACTCATAGCCACAACTCCATCTAGCCAGTCTCCGTTCTAGCATTTGATCCTGAAGCTTGGAGACAGTTGAGTAGGTACCCTGGAACTTCAGGGCAGTAGGAACTCCTGTGTCCTCCTAACCCTGCCCCACTCCCTCTGGTGCACTCTTGAGCTTCCTGGTGCCCAGTCTTGCCCATGCCATTCAAGCCCCCTGCTATTCTCTGTGGCCTCCTACTTCTGCCCTCTTTTTTTGCCTAGTTGAGGCCAAAAAGACACACCCTGGCTGATAAATACATCCCAGGATTTCAATAATAAAAACACTTAGCATTCATTATACTACTTGTTTAGCCTGGAGAGGAGGTGACCTTGTCCCATCCCAAGATACGTGAATGTTTACCCCTCTTCGTCACTGGTGTTGTGCAATGCCAGCTGCATTAATAATAAGACCAAGATACCGCACGACTATCGAGCAGTAAAGAAGAAGAAGAAAAAATAGCAGTAAAGAATATGGACCTGGCTTGTGTGACCAAGACCTGGGTGAGGGAAGGCGAGACTGTTGCCCTACAAGAACTGACCCCCCCCCCAGTTTTTCAGTCCCTCACCAGTCACGAACTCAGGAGGGGGGGTTGCTTTACTCATCCAGGAGGGTTTCTCCTTCAGGCCACTCTCCGTGCCAAAGATCGCAGGTATTGATTGTGTTGGCTTGGTGTGGGATGCTGTTTGGTGTACTGACTGCCTAGTGCACCAGCAGACAGCCTGCAGAGCCTGTTGAAGGTGGTGGCTCAGTGGGTCTTGGAGTTCCCAAGACTACTGGTTCTTGGGGACTTCAGCGTCCATGTAGATGGAGCCGCCACCACCAGTCAGGCTTTGGACCTGGGGGCTCTGGGGATTTCCCAGGTTATATCAGGACGCACACATCAAGCAGACCACACCCAGGATCTGATCTTTGGCCTGAGGATGAAAGAATGTGGATCCGGCCTCAAGGGAAGAGGTCCCAGGTCAGACCATTTGGTCCTGGGTGTCTCAGCCCCTGCGACCAGAGCAGGACGGGTTCAACTGCACTCCATAGATCGCAGTGATCCAGAGCCCGTGGTGGCAACAGGCAACCCAACAGAAGAACCAGTGATCAGCGGCAATGAATCGATGTGGGATTGCTCCCTTGCACCATGGTGGTGGTGGCAGCAGCTGCAGACGTGACTACAGGAGGCGAGCCAGCGACGCTGGGCAAACCCTGGCAGCCACAGCTCCCGCAGACTCCCACAGGCCTCTTGGGCTTCAGAAGGGAGCTTGAGTCCGTGAAGGCGGCCGGGATGGCGCTGTGAGACCCACCAGACTTCCCAGCCACAGGAACCCAGCGAGGATGACGAAGAAGGTGCTGGCCTGCTGGGAGCCTCCCCCAAGAGGCACCTTAGTAGGCACCCGGTGGTTCAGGGGAAATGTGGGCTGGTTGGGAGGCCAGGGGGGGAAAAAACCCCTCCACAGCACAGGAGTCCTTTAGGAGAGAGGACAGGAGAGAGGACTCTTCCTCACCCCTCTATGCCCACTGTGAAGGTCCTCCAGAAACAATTGGGAGCTCACCTTGCTGAGTCTAGTCTCCAGGAAGGGATGTAGGACTGCAGAGGACTCTGGAATGGGCAGGAGAAATGGTGGAGGCCTAATGACTAAATGACTCTTCCTCCTCCTCCTCAGACAAGGAGGGGGGAGAACTCTCTGAGGCAGAGGAGGTAACCTCAGTACAAACCAGGGTTTCCAGCCAGGAATTGTACACACGTCTGCTCCCTAAGGTTTAGAGCGCATTAGAAATCTCCAAACCTAAAGGAAATGATGAACCTGACACAGAATTTCCATCTGAATCAGGAAGGTTCATGCCAAAGCTTTCTTCACCACAGGCAGGGATACCTCTCCCAGCAGCCTTCTATAACATTATGAAAGCAGAATGGGAAAAGTAGTTGTTGTAGATTTTCCGGGCTGTATGGCCGTGGTCTTGGCATTGTAGGACCTGATGTTTCACCAGCAGGTGTGACTGGCATCCTCAGAGGTATCACACAGAAAGATGGTGTACTCTCTGTGTCAAGTGAGAAGAAAAATGATAGGCAGGTAATTTCTATCTACTCAGGAAGGTGGGGTAGGGCTGAGTCATTATCTTGTAGGAGTTTCCCAAACTGTGACATGCTAATGGAGGAGCTTTCCTGAGGAGGTTCTTTTGCATAAAATTGACAATGCAAACAGATATGTGAAACTACAGTGGCAAAGTCTAGCTGTATATACTATATTATTATATCTCCCATGGAAGATTGCTGATGGTATTGCATTGAATCTTGCTAGAGAAAAGGCTCTGCGCTGTTGTGGTGCTTGTATATCAGATACGTATGGGGCCATTCGGTCTACCGTGAGGGGAATCTCAAAGTTCAGAAGGGGGCAAGATTTGTTGGCTAAGCTGTATAGCCTTTGTGTTTCAGTGAGTCCAATGGGATACCCATGGCAGTTATTTTGTTCTCAATTTGTGGTAGCCAGTTAGACATGTTTGACTCCGTGAGCATTTGCTGTGTAAGGCTCCCTTGGTCTACATTGTAATGTAAACGTAGCCAGTATTTTACTGTCCTAAGCCACGCACCAGATTCCACAGAATTTAACCCAGTTGCTAAACAGAAGGCTGCATAAGGTACACAGCGCAGCATTCTCATGATCTTTCACAGAAATTTAGATTGAACATGTTCTGTTGTGCCATTAAGTGCGCTTATCCATATTGGAAGACCGTACATGAGTTGTGGAATTACTTTGGACTTGAAGACTTTTAATGCAGCTGGTATGAATTGATTGCCTCTGGTGTAGAAGAATCTGGAAATGGCAGAAGCATTGCTGTTGGCCATATTTATTGCTGGATTACGTTGCACAGACCAAGATGCATTATACTGGAAGTGCAGACCTAAGTATCTAAAATTTTTAACTAGTTCAATTGGTTTGCCTCCAATTGTCCATTTGAATGGTTTCCAAGTTTTGGAAAAGACAAGTATTTTGGATTTTTCATAGTTTAAAGGTTAAATATTTGTTATAAAATATGAAAGACATCTATTTAGTGAGCGCTTTAAACCAACTTTGGAGCAGGACAATAGTACCGTGTCGTCCACACATAATCGTAGAGGGACATGGACAGAACCCAGTTTACGGGCATGGCAATCAACAGCTTCGAGGTAAGGGGAGAGATCATTAAGGAGCGGGTTAAATAGAAAGGGTGCTAATATACAGCCTTGTTTGACTCCTTTATTTGACGGGGTTTTTGAAGCTAATTTCCCTGTCAGTGAACATTTGATGTGACATTTTGTTGATGTGTATAGCTTTTTTTATAAGGTTAAGGAGTCTCTTATCTATGTTTAGTTGTTGAAGTTTAGCCCAGAGGAGTTCCCTGTCGATTGAATTGAATGCCCCTTTAAGATCTATGAAGGCAGCGTATAATTTTACATTGCTTCTTTTAACATATGTATAAATCAGGTGCTCTAATACAATGCAGTGGTCTAAAGTAGTTTTCCCTTTACAAAATCCCAGCTGTTCCGGGCCTAAGACTCTCCGTCCGGTCATCCATATGGTCAGCTTAGATAGTAAATGTTTGGCAGACAGTTTGCCCATAATGGAAAGCAGGCTGATTGGTCTATAGTTGGAAGGAATTGAGCAACCACCTTTTTTGTAATTGGGACCACAATTGCATTTAACCATGCATGAGGAATAAGGCCAGAATTGAGGTTAGACCTTCAGTGGGGAGAACTTGGTGGAGAGGCCTGTTTCAGCCTCACCAGAGCCCTCCTCACGGGCCTTTCCCTGGAGCAGGAGATGAGATGGAGCTTCCCATCATTCTCAGGGAATCCGTTGATTCTTCCGGTCCTGGTAGGCTGTGGGGAGCCTCCTTGATCTCTTGTCTTCCCCCACTTTTCAGGATTCTCTCTTCCCCAGGTCACACCAAGGGGCAGCAATCCAATATGGTTACTGTGTGATTTTTTTTTTTTAAGTGGTGACTTGTTTGTGGTCCAAGGGCTATAAACAAACTTGCAGCAGTTTTAAGTGCACACTGTTCTGCTGTATGACAGAGAATTGTGAAGATCTGGATTGTCCAGTGTCAGTGAACTCTGAACTCTGTTCTCAGGCGTGGTCCTCCACCCTGTTCTTACATCTTGAGCTCTTCCAGTCTGTCCGTCATGCTCTTTCTTGAAATGTTCTGCTGTACAAATTCTTCCAGCAACCGAAGGATCTGGTAAGGATTAGTACTTTGCTTGAGAAACAGTAGAAACAGTGAAATTATTTTTGACTTCTTCTGGAATAGAAATTAGAATGTCGGATTTGCTGATCTTTATACCTTCCCTTCTGTGCTGAAGGAGAGACAGCATACACAAAATTAAAAGCCGTAATTAAGTCCGTGGAAAGCACAATGCAGATGGGAAGGTGACACGTAGACATGTCAACTGACGTCCTTCCAAAGACATGAGTTCTCTCGCTGCTGCTGCTGCTTGCTGTTGTGTCATGCTAAGGGATGGGACACTGTTGAGAGGGATTCTTCCGTTCACTGACCCTCCAGATGTAGAAGGCGTTGACTGTGCAGCTTCCACAACTCTGCCTCCTTGTGTTCTGTTTCTTTAGGGGGCACCCAGCAGCACAGTGGCTCGGGTCTCTTTGCACTCTGCACGTTGGACGGTAAGCCCTCCTGATTACCTGGGAACAAGCAGAGGGGAGGGGTTTGGTAGGCTGGGGAGACCACAGTTCATAGTATCTTATCAGCGTTCTGTTTGGCATAACGTATGAAGGGCCTCCTTGACCCATACTAGCCCGAGATGATCAGAGCTTAGAAGCTGAGCAGGGTTGGCCAGAGCTAGTACTTGGATGGGAGACCACCAAGGAAGTCCAGGGTCGCCACGCAGAGGCCACCACCACCAATCCACCTCTGCTTGTCTCTTGCCTTCAAAACCACATGAGATTACCAAAAGTTGGTTGCGACCAATGTTCCCTCTAAGCTGTGGAGTCTTGTGAGCAGAAATTCTACTTTGTGAGCTACGGGTGTTAAAGTTGTGAGCGAGCGATTTGGCTCCTGCATAGATTAGTTTGCTCTGGAACTATCTTTCCTGAGCTAAGACAAAAATGCATGAGCCGGAGGCTAAAAAACTGTGAGCCAGCTCACACTAACTCAGCTTAGAGAGAACACTGGTTGCGACTTGACAGCAGTTTTCACCACCATTCATTCTTGGCCCTGGCCTGGATGGCCTCAGTTAGCCTGACCTTGTCAGATGTTGGAAGCTAAGCAGAATTGGCCCGGTTGGTATGTTGTTAGCTCCCGTTAATATATTGTTGCAACACCAGACAGGGGCAGTGCGTTTCCATGTGTTTTGTGCGCAGTAACTCATTGCTCTTGCTGGTCCCTGTCAAGGGTCCCCAGGCCAGGGCCAAAGATCTTTGTTTTAAGGGCTGCAGGACACAAAATTACAAAACCCTGGGGTGGGGCTCCTGACACACCAGTCTGGTAGCTGCCACCAGCCTTTTAGAAGAAGAAGAAGAAGAAGAAGAAGAAGAAGAAGAGATTGGATCCCTGGGTGGTGATAGAAAGCTAACTGCTAGGCAGATGATCAAAGAGGTGGTCTGACCAGGGAGAAAGGAAACGAAACCTGTCTGCACCTAGGCCCTTTCCCACAGGTGAAGATCATGAACCTTAATTGGATGGGATGTGGCTAATGGGGAGTTGGTGCTAGGCTCTGGTCTCCTCTCTGCAGCTGGGTGTTATCTACAAACTCACGTCAGCTTGCTCTAGTTTAGCAATGTAATTTCTGAATTCTATTAACCCAAAAGCAGGCCGCAGTTCAAGCCTGAACCAAACTTTGAATCAGAACGAGAAATTTGGGGAACCAATTTCTTTACACTCCCGTTTTGCCAAAAATTTTACATTCCCCATAGAGATTTTAGGCAAAGAATTGGGGTGGGGCCAGATGTTTCCTGCCGGTGCATTCTCTCTCATGCTTATATGTGAAGTTTTGGTACCAGTGGATTCAATCTTCACACACACACACACACCCCTAATATATCACCACCCATATCATAAGCATGCATTCCGACAACCCTTAAATGATACATAGAGCGCTCATTTAATTGGATGTCAATACCAGGAAAGGGTTCGTGTGTTGGAACTTTTAGGGGGAGTTGTGGCTGACTCCCTGGTTTTCTAGGAGGGCAAGAAGTGGTTTTATCTGACACACCTGTTGAGAAAACGGGGGACGCTCTCATGCTAGGACAGGCTCCAAGTGCAGGGAACTGCCAAAGCAGGTAATTGCAACCCAGACAACCAGTGAAGAAGCAGTGCTGGAAGTGTTGCACAAGTAAGGTTCAAGGAACTGCTGGAGTTAATGTCTATGTTTCCTGTGGAATGCAGCCTTGTATTGTCCTACCAGGCATTGTGCTCTTAGGAGACCCCTTCTCCAGGGGTCCTGGGAGTGGGGCAGTCCTTCCTCCTGGGATTACAGCCCCTCCTCCTCTCTGAAGGCTGACAGTTTTGATCCCAGAGGGGAGGGGCTTGTTCCTTGGATTCCCAGTCTTACCGGCCTGGCCTTCTGAGCGGGACACGCTTCAACAGTGCTGAGAGCACAGCGATCCCAGAAGACAGAAGAAAAAAGAAGAGGCAGCTTAGGAAGGGAAGCCATTTTGCCTCAACCCCTCCAAGTGGTGGCATTGATTAATGCAGCTTAACGAGGTCCAACAGAGCAGGGAAAACTCCTGCAACCGCGGAAAGACACAGAGCCAATGACCTGTAGCATGAAAGATCTTTCCTTCAAAACAGCCTTCCTAGTGAGCATTACATCAGCTAGGAGGGTTTCGGAACTGCAAGCCTTATCCATTGATAAGGAACTGTGTGTGTGTGTCATAATGTTTCTATCTGGACAGGACCAAACCCTTGAGAGCCACCCATGCCTTATTCATTTCTTTTAGGAAATCCTCATTAGGCAAGAGGATTTCAACCTCCACCCTGAGTAGATGGCTGAGGTGGCGGGAGGCGGAGCCACCACAGAGCTTTTCCTTCCTTGGAGACGATCTGTAGGACCATTCATGTACAAGACACTACTGAATTGATAACTTGGCCTATGCGGAGGCAGCCTTCAGTAGATAGAAGGGTCTTGCAGCATGCCATGTAGACCGAGAAGCTGCTGGACCCACCCTGGGAGACACTGCTTTTCTTAAGGCCCAGGAGCAAGGGCTGCCCCACTGCCGGGACCACTGAAGGATGGAAGATTTGCCTTCACTCACCGTGAAGCTTCCTTCTCAGTGGTTTGGGGGTGGGGTAGTCCTCCCCGCCCTTTAGGGATTGGCAGCTTCAGGGGTCTTGGGGTGTCAGGAGTTGAATGGGCCCAGGACTCCGTATCCTTGGTGTGGTACAAGCAGACATGCCAAATGAGCTGGGAAGTAAGGAAATTATTCAGAACGGTGGTCGGGTTTCCGGCGAGGTTATACTGCGAACCTCCGACCTTCTGCTTTAATTAAAGGATACAAGTGAAGGGTTAGGAACGTGTTCCCCATGAAGGGAAGTGTGTTTTTTGTCTTTGCACATAGTTTGAAACAGGGAGTCACGGCTTGGAGAACGGCTCCAGGGAATTCAGGGAACAAGCCCCTCCCCTCTGGGATCAAAATTGTTGGCCGGCCCCCTGCCTTCAGAGAGGAGGAGCCGTGATCCCAGGACTGCCCCCACCTCACGGTAAGTGAGGACAAACCTTCCGTTTTCCTCACGGTCTCTCTTGCGGGTACAAACTCCACTGCAGAACTCGGCAGAGCACTGATCTGGGAACGGACAGTCTTCTGCAGTCAGCTCCTTGCATCACAGGTTTCGAAGTTGATTGTGAAGGTTTTCATTTGTGTCCTGTTACAGCTGGCTCACACCTCCTTCTCTCTCCTCCCCCCCCCCATACAGGAACTCTGAAGCTGATGGAAAGGGCGGATAAGCTGCTGTGGTCAGTGCAGGTCGACCACCAGCTTTTTGCTCTAGAAAAACTGGATGTTACCGTGAGTTCTGTTCCAGGGTTTTTTCCCAGGCGAGTGGGGGTTGGGGCTGGGCAGAAGACTTCTGATCAGTGGCTGGGGACAGAGGTGAACCAGGCTGCCTGTCGGAAGAGGAGGGGCAGATCCAGCGGTCCCTCTTAGCCGCCTTCCCGGAAGAGCTGCCGCCTGCTCGGTGCTCTGGCCTCCCTCAACTCAGGCAGCAAGGATGTGGTGTCTCTTCCCCCCCCGATATTGAAAAGGAGCAGGGGCTGCTGCTCCGTGGGTGGGGAGTGGGCTGCTGTGGTGGCAGCAGCAGCAGCGTTCCCTTTGGGAGGAGGCAGACCGGCAGGGCCCTGCAAGCAGACCAGAAAGGTCCAGCAACTGCCATGAATGGGCAATGGAGACCACACCTCTTTCTCTTGGCAATGTGGGAGGGGGCAGTTTCTGATCCATAGCTGTTCTTCTTCTGTATTTGTAAAAGTGCCAAAAATAGATTGCAGTTAGGAGGAACGTATCAGAGGGGATTTGGTTGATAACGCATCAGTCTGGATCAGGGTTTCCTACATAAAAGTTCACTTTTGCTGAGTGTTATGACCTTAATGAGGCGGCTGAGCAGGATGCTCCCTCCTCCCCTGCCAGACAGTGGATCTGGGGGGCTGCAGACGGCCGCCTCTCACCGCTGGTCCGCGAGTCCTGCTTACGGAATCCTGAATCCTTTCTCATCCAGTGAGTGGAAGGGAAGGTCCAGGTGAAGAGCTCCTCTACTTGTACAAAGGCAGCCAGTCACCTGTCCTCCTATCGCAGTGGCAGACATGGGAGGCACTGGGGGAGGATCACGAACCTAAATATCCTTGACAGAACCACAATTAGGCCCTCATGAATGAACAAACTACAGAAAGTCGTTTATAAAAACTTTCATGAAACGTTACATTAATATGTTGTCTCTCACAATACAGGTTACAAATTGATAATTGAAAATACAAATTGAGAGCCAGTTCGGTGTAGTGGTTAGGAGCGAGGACTCTAATCTGGGAGAACCGGGTTTGATTCCCCCACTCCTCCACATGGCAGCTGTTGGGGTGACCTTGGGTCAGTCACACGTTCTCTCAGAGCTGACCTCTCAAGGGTAGTTTCTGTCAAGAGCTCTCTCAGCCCCACCTATCTCACAGGGGGTGTCTGTTGTGGGGAGGGGAAGGGAACGGAGATTGTAAGCCCCTCTGAGACTCCTTTGGGTGGTGAAGGAGTCTCAAAAGCTCAAAAAATATATTCCCTTCCCTAATCCATGATGAGATATCTTTTGCGCTATAATGCGTCTTAATTAAAAGTTACCTTTAGATAGATTTTTCATGAAAGATCATTTTAGCAAAAATCTATTTAATGGTTTTATTTAAAAAATGATTTTTTAATCTACCCTGATGTGTATAGAGGTGTGCTATGATTGTAACACATGCACAGAAGAGCTGAGAACCAAGATGTTAGGCTTAAAACGGAAGAGAAAGATCCATAAGCAAAACAGGACAATGCCAAGCACTTGGTAAAGGCTGAATGACTGTTTTAGTAGACGGGGTAGATTAGCAGGATGAATTGTAGAAATAATAGCAAGAGAACTCAGCCAGAGCCATGGAAAATGTGAGCTGCCAAGTGAAAGATCAGACATCGTGCCCAAGCTCTTAACTCCCTGAGAAGGAAGCAGAACGACTGAGAGAAAGTGACGGTTCAGGGGGGACCTGTAATGAGTTCTGTTGATTAAGCCTGAGCCAGTTGTTTGATATGCCGGCAAGAGTCCTCGCAGGACACGTGTGGATGCTCTCGTCAGGAGAGGAGGAGAAGCAGGAGGGGAGAGCTGGACCACATTGCCATAGTGATGAAAGCACAAGCCCAAAAGGGGGAGGAGGGAAGAGAGGGTGGGGTGGGTGACTCATGAGGAGCTCCACAGAGGAAGGGAATGAGCCCCAGTCCCTCTGCCCCGCTGAGCCCACGTCTCCCCTCGGCTGCCACCCCCTTATCCTTCCCTCCCCCTGCTGCTGCCGCTGCCACCGTGTCTTCCCGCACCGCCGCTGCCGCCTTCCCACACCCTTGTTCCCTCCCCAGTGCCCTCCCCGGCGCAGTGCCTTCCTTCCCTCAGTCCTCCTGCTGCCACTTTCTCCCTCTCCCTTTAGCTGACCCTTATTTTTTAAAAAGAGGGTTGTAAAGCTGATTTGCTTCTCATCATTTCTGTGGAGCTTCTGTGTAAAGCCGTCGAGAAGCCATTTGTGGCTTCTGAGTAGGCTGACATCCTGCGCTATATTTCCTCTGTCCAAGCGGCTCAGTGCTGATGGAGCAGAGTCCTGAGCCAGTGCCTGACTTCTGCCGCTGCGTGGGTGAGAGTGAACACGCTGACACAGAAACCCAGCGGCAGAGGTGATTCTGGCTGCAGAGGTCCCACATTTGAGGGGATTCAGGTGACCCAGTTTACAACCTTGGAGTTCTGCTTGGCCCAGCATTACTGCTGGAGAAGCAAGAGTTCAACTACTGTTTGCCCCCCTCTCCCCATTTTGCAGGCTGCCGTGCTTGTCGGTGCGATTGTTGAGCTAGCTTTTTTTGCATCAACGCTTCTGATTAGGGGCTAAGTTGTTAGTCCTGCTTCTGGATGGATGCGGGAATGGGTATCCATTGTAGGCGTGTGGGCTTCTGGGATTTCCAATACGTCACAGAGAGCTGTGCTGATTAGATACTCTGATCTCTTCCAGGGAAATGGCCATGAGGAGGTGATTGCTTGTGCTTGGGATGGTCAGACGTATATCATAGACCACAGCCGGACCGTTGCCAGGTTCCAGGTGGATGAAAATGTGAGCGCCTTCTGTGCAGGTGAGTTGCTTAAGTGCTTGGCAGACCGAGAGCCCAGGTCAGAACTTTGCTCTGTGTTCTTTGCTCAGAACTTTGTACTCTGAAGGGATGCTTTGGATCAAGGGTAGCAGAGGTCTCTGTTAAAAACCTTGGAGAGCTGCTGTGAGTTGAAGTAGACAGTTACTGGCACAGACGGACCACCGGCCTCACTCAGGAGGAAGGCCGTTTCACATGCTCACGAGCAAAAGGCTACAACAGTAATCTTCTACTATTAGCCAGAGTGCCTATATCAGCTTTCCTGCATAAAGTCCCACATTCAGCCCCTGGCATTTCTGTGCTGAAAAATACCTTCTTTTGCCTATTATCTAGGGGTGCACAATTTTTTTTTTTTACTGGCATTTTTCAGTTTGGGTCTTTTGGTATGGTATTTAGGTCAGGGATTTTTTGGAAATCCTGAAATTTTTCGGGTCCAATAGACCCGAGCTGACAAATGCCAGTAAAAAAAATACCAGACCTCTCCTGGGGCTGGCTTGCCTTCTCCTGCAGCCTGGTTCAAACTGAGCTGCACCAGCGCGGAGCGATTGGCTTCCCTGCAGGCACAGCCGATCTCAGCTAGGCTGCCATCCTCCGCCGCCTGGTTTAAACCCGGGCAGCCTGAGGAGGCAGTGCAGAGCTGCACCCGGGGGAAACCATCGGCTCCCCACAGGCACAGCTACCCCAGCTGGGCTTCCCTCTTCGGCCGCCTGGTTTACACCAGGTGGCAAGAGAAGGCAGCACAGAGCCGTGCCACTGGGGGGCTCTCCACTCCCCACCCGCCCAGCGGATCTTGGGGTTTGAACTGGGCTGCAAGGGAAGCCAGCCACGGCCACCCCGGCTGATCCTTGTGCTGACCTCTGCAGTCCCTTTAAAGTTTAAAGGGATTGCATGAGCCTGCCTGACAGGCAGCTGAGAGGCAGGAGCAACCTGCTCCCACCTCTCCACTGTTTGCAGATGTACCCGAAATCCCCAGATATATCCGGGATTTTCTTGGAATCCACCACCACCCCCGGCCCCGTTTTCCCGAGATAACACGGATACGTTTGGGAGGCCAAGTATATTTTCAGCTTGGGTAGATCCAAATGCAGGCCCCTGCTAACATCTTGGATGATGCTAGGTTAGGTAGATCAGTAACTGGAAAGCCCAACCCTTGCTTCTCCTTCTCCTTCTGTGATGTGAAAGAAAAGTCCAATAGAGCATCAAACTCTGGCATGGCTACTTTTTTGGCATGCTAGGGGTCAAGACTTTGACCCTGCTTAGGTTATATCCAAGGGTGGCTTTGAAGGGTGTGAATCTCTCCTCCCAGTCTAGAGGGATACGTGGTTTCTTTGCTGTGCATTTGCTTTAGGGAGCCAACCCTGACCCAAGCACAAGGCAATGGCTTTGTGGGAATGCCTTTCCTTTCTAGGAGAGGGCCTGAATCCTCGGTCTGTGGGCTAGAGCAGAAGGTAACCCCTTTAGGGCTGCTGCGGCATCAAGTGTTGTCATGTATGCATGACAGAACCAGCCCAGAGTTTCTGTATTGCCCAGCATCACCCCAACCGCCCCCTGTCTCTCAGTGGAATCCTGACAGTTTTGTCCCATATTCAGCTGCCCACTGGTGGTCAAGGGAAGAGGGCGTGCTCTTGTGAGCAGATTCTCATTGAACCCCATTCCCCTTCTTCTGCTTCAACAGAGTCCGTTTCTGCTCTAGAAGGGGTGAAAGCGCATTGATGTGATAACAGCAGAGCCAGTTCTTGTCTTCCCAAGAAAGGCTGTGGGCAGGGCTCCGGCCAGGTCTGAGGACATCTCCTTCAAAGCGACCCCAGCCGCCCTGTGTCTCAGTGAAATCCTGACAGTTTTGTCCCATATTCAGCTGCCCACTGTCAAGAGTGTGGTGGTCAAGGGAAGAGGGTGTGCTCTTGTGAGCAGATTCTCATTGAACCCCATTCTGTTCAATGCTCTAGAAGTTTCTGCTCTAGAAGGGGTGAAAGCGCGTTGATGTGATAACAGCAGAGCCAGTTCTTGTCTTCCCAAGAAAGGCTGTGGGCAGGGCTCCGGCCAGGTCTGAGGACATCTCCTTCAAAGCGGAAGGTGACCCTTGAGTGTCCAAGGACAAGGCTGGCCCCTTCGGCACCCCTGGTCTGTAGACCTGCCTTTCAAGGCTGAGTGCTTCCCCTTCCAGATTGGGCAACAGACCGTGCGTCTGGACCCCCAACTAACAGGACATCTGCACCCAGTGTTCGTGTATTCATTCTCACCCGGCCCGTTACCGTCGCCAGGCACCTGTTTAGCACACCCAGCCCTCTCTGTCTTACTCTGACAAAAGAGAAGAAATCTGGGTGTCGTCAGAAAATCAGTAATTGACTCCAGATCCCCTGGTTGACTGTCCCTGCTGATGGTACCATGTAGGGATTAAAAATAAAGGCTGTATGATCAGCAGGTATGCCTTGTGTTGGTCCTCCATCAGTGCTCCTCGCTGTCATCCATGTGACTTCACTGCCTGAAGTTGCCCTGGATTCCTTGGGGACCAGCTTGTCTTCTTCCTGTTCCAGAAATCAACTAGGGCTTCATCAGAACTGTCCACTGTGAGGTCTGACCCTGGCAAATACTTGGACGGGAGACCTCCTCGGAAGACCAGCAGTCGGGAGGCGGGGGCAGGCCTTATTCAGCCACCTCTCTGAATATCCTTCAGTCCCCCATTAGGGGTCAGTCACCAGAGGTCGCCATGACTTCCAGGTGCTCATGCGCGCACGCGCACACACACAAAAAAATACAAAAAAATACCAAAGAAAAGAACTGTCCACTGTGGAAATCCTACAAAGGTTGTGTGGAAATCATTAGGATCCAGCTGTCTCCAAGAGCAAACCAATGTAGCTGGTCTCCCAGCTTTTCATCAGCCTATGCCTCACTATATAGTGGGGGAATTGAAATGTTCTCTGTCTCTGAATCACAGTCTCCGTGCCCAGTGGAGAGTACCAGGCCAATCTGATCCGCTGTACATGTGGGGCCAGGGATACTTTGGGACAGCCCCGGTGGTGGTTGTAAAACCACCTATTCCAGAGCTGCCCCAGACAGGGCCGTGGAACCCCGTAGAGGCCAGGCAACCTGAACCTCTCCAACCCCAGAGCCAAGCTTATGCGCAGTGTCTCAGGGTGGCTGTCAGGCAGTGTTCTGTCCCTGACACACACTCCAAGCAAGGGTCCTGCTGGCCGAGGAACCCGGCAAAAGCGGTCGGGTGTCTTTAGGCTGGGGCTGCACAGCTCGGGGGGGGGCAGGGGGGAACACCAGGGATCTCGAGTGGGCTGCTCCCTTCTGGGCCTGATGGCTCCCAGTCGTTTTGACCTTTGGCAGCTGCAGCTTCAGAAGAAAGACTCCTCTGCCGCCAACTTGTCGCCCCAGGAGGTGTGTTGCTCTGCGGTGCCCTCTCCCTCTCTCCTTCCTGGGGACTCAAAGGGCCTTCTGCTCGTCGCACTCTAGGCCTTCTTTTAAGCTGAAGGCCTCAGATCTCTCTCCCCACCTGGATGGTCTAATTGGGTTCCTCTTCCTCTGGCTTGGCGCACCCTCCCCCATCTAGAGCCTAGCTTTTGCTTGCCGTGCTAGTGGAACGGTTGATATGCTGGGATTGTGAAAAGTGTGGCACAGTCCTCTTTGCCTCCTCGTCCTGCCGCGCGTGTCTCTCAGGACCCCGTCCTCTTCCTGAAGTGCCCCCGTTGGCCTCTCCGCTGTTTTCTGGGTCTCCCTGGACAGAGATGCTGGCCCTTTAAGTAGCAGCTGCCTTCATTTCCCCAGGTCTCTATGCCTGCAAGGGAGGCTGCAATAGCCCTTGTCTGGTGTACGTCAGTTTCAATCAGAAGATCCTCATCTATTGGGATGTCCAGTTGGAGAGGATGGAATCCACAAATCTGCTGAAGATCCTGGAGAGCAATTCTGAATACACAGAACTCCTGCAGCAGCTGGGCGTGGGTGAGTGACACATCCCGTATGACCAGGTAGCAGAGGTGTGGGGGTGCTTTAATACACCCCCACACTAAGGTGTATAAAATGTTTTTTGTCAGAACTGGATTGTTAAAATATGTAGCGAATGGGGGTGCCCAGGTCATCCTATACGAATGGGCCTGCTTTTTAATACCTGCTGTGCCATTGGTCTGGAGGCCGTCCGTGTGCCTTGGAAATCCTCTGGGGTGTCAGACCAGGGCGCTGGAAGGGACGCCTGCTGCCCCCTTGGGAGCCTTTGCCTCAGTTGCCAGCCGAGGCCCCTGTTCTGTCTCCCGGCCTACGGGGGGAGGTGGGTTAGCAACCACGGACGGTCTTTCCTGTTAGGCATTCCTTCCCTTTTGCGGCTTCAGCGGGTGCTCTGCCCATTGTACTGGGGCTGCCTGTAGAGTACCGGATCCAGTTCAAGGTTTTCGTGCTGAATGTTAAAGCCCTTTGCGGCCAGGGGCCCCTGTGCACCTCAGGTGGCCACACCTCTCTTCCTGGATCAGCCCTGCAGAGCGTTGCGCTCCCCACTGACCAACACTTTCTAGCCTTTTCAGCCCAGGGCCCAGCCTGGTGGAACAAGATCAGGGCCCTGCGGGGGATGTGTTGCAATTCCACAGGGCCTGTGAAACGGAGCTGTTCCGCATGGCTTGTCGTTGAGGCAGTGGGGGGTGCCCAAATTCCACCCTTTGGCCTCCCCTGCTGGCAGCCCGGACCTAGTGATTAGCGGCTTGACATCCCACAACACTGCCCAGGAAGTCCCCACTTGAGCGTTGTCATTGAGCTAATTTTATAACAGCTCTTTTTAGTGTGAAGTTTTAAATTTTAAAAATTATCTTTTGTACTTCATACACTGTTCTCTGTCATGACATCATGCGACCTTGTAAGCTGCCCTGAGCTCACTTAAAGGGGGATATAAGTCGAAGAAATAGAAAATAAAATAAAATTGTTTACTGCCCGGCATTGGTTTTGGATACTTCCCCTGCTGTTTTTATAATATGACCAATATTTTGATTATAGAATTATATCATGAGACAGTTGGAAGGGACCAGACAGGCCATCCAGTCCCGCCCCCCTGCTCCGTGCAGGAACAGCCCGAGAGCATCCCTGACAAGCGTCTGTCCAGCCGCTACTTAGAGACTCCCCAGGGAGGGGGAGCTCAGCACCTCCCCAGGCAGCCCATTCCACTGTCGCACAACTCTGACTGTCAAACAGTTTTTCCTTCCCGCCCTTACTTGAAACCCTTTCTTGCGAGTCCTCTCCTCTGCTGCCAACAGGAACAGCTCCCTGCCCTCCTCAAAGGGACACAGCCCTTCCAAGGCTTAAAGAGAGCAATTACTTGCTGCTTAAATATTAAATAATGCTGTCTTATGTTACAGTTTTTATCCTTACTGATGTATCGGATAGCGATTTTGTCCTCAGCCCCCTTGGCCATTTTTGTCTGAGCACATATTACCTAACTCTTGTAGCCACATCATATTCCAGCTATACATAGACTTTACCCTTGTCAGTGGATTGAGCATGCATTTGGTTGCCCAGGAAAACTAACAGCTGCCTTTGTTCACAAAAAGAATTTTCCCTGAGGGGCCTGCAAAAAGTCACTTCTTGAATATGGGCGACCTTCTGAATCCAACCTGATCATTACCAGAACTGTTGCCATGTTTTAATAAGACAGGTCATAGTATGCAAAAGGTTATCCCAGCGACATATATTTTAGGTGCTCTCATGATGAGCAGAAAGCAGGCAGATTCTTAAATACATTCGTATGGCGACAAAACCTGTCATTAGTGGTAATATGTGTGCCTTTCTTTCATAGCTGGAGATGATGTTTCCGCTGTCAAAGATCTGATTCACAAGACCCTCTACTTACCGGAACATCAGTCACGTGTCCCTCGTCAGCCGAGGCGTTGGGGCAGAACAGACTCCTCCAAGTGCCGCACAGACATCCAAGGAGCCATCTGAGCCAGCGGCACTGTTGCTCCTCGCCGTGTTGGCGCGGTCTGCCTGCCGCTGCCCGTTTTGCCCATGGGGCCATTTTAAAAGGCTGGCTGAGCAGCATTCGGCAGGCCGGGGCAAAGGACTGGGGCCACCGGATGAGGAGTGCCTCCCGCCCTCTTCTCAGGGTCGCCATCATTTGCATTCACTCCTCATTGGACACTCACCCCTTTGCCCAAAAATTGGAATTGTAAAACTTGAAGAGTACAAAAAGGAAAGTAATTAATGCACAGAACTCGTTATGTGTCCAAAAGTGCTGACGCAAAAGGGGAAAGACAAGCAGATGGTAAAAATTGAAATTCATATTCTAACTAAAGAACTTAAAATTTGAAAAACAGTGGAGTTGAAAAGGGTGCAGAGAGTTCTCGGGGCTCCTCTTCCGAGGGGGGTGGGGTGGCCTGTTGAGGCTTCTGTTGACGTGCCGGGGAAGGATTGGGGCCCAGAGCACACTATGAAGGGATCACAATCCTGATTGAAGAGTCGTTTTGAAGAATCCAATCCACACTCTGAACTATGCCCGCATTTATGAGCATGGTCCCATCCAGCAGCTCCTGGTACAGAATAAAAGGGGAAGTGCTGGGGAGGGATCCCCGGGGGGGGGGCCCTTTGTGCCATGATAGGAATGAGATTCCTTGTGTTTTTGTGTGTTTATGAATCCCAAGTGCGGGAAAGCTGAATTGGAAATGCCAGTGATGGGGAAACATTGTGTAGTATTGTGGTGCAACGAAGCTGGATTGTTACTTGTGAAAAGAAAATGCAGACCAAAGGGAGTGGGTCGGCACATTTGTATTTGATGTTTTAAAATAAAAAAATTAAAAAGTGTGATTTGCAAGAGGCTCCGATTCTGAGCCACACGGACTGGTTGCTGCATGAGCAGCATTGAGCTATACCTGTCCTCTGCCACACTTTCTTTAAGGCTCAGTAACTTTACCTTGAATAGGCATGTTTCTGATGGATCTGCCAGGGCATTTGGGGGGGGGGGGGGGGAATCACACCAGCTCTACTCTTCTGGTTTCTTCCCTTGGCTGTGTTACAGTTACCAATACATGCTCTGGGTGAGAATCAGGCCAGAGATTCCATTCTCTTGAATTACATTTAGGTTTTATGTTATGGTCTTAATGAACTAACTTCTGTTTCCATCAGAATGACGGGGGGGGAAGGTACATTGGTTGACAGAGCACACCCAAGGAGTGCTTGTGAATGGTTCCTCATCCTCTTGGAGAGGAGTGACAAGTGGAGTGCCTCAAGGATAAATGATTTGGATGAAGGGAAAAGAGGGGATGCTTATTAAATTTGCAGATGATACTAAACTGGGAGGGGTAGCAAATACGGTAGAAGACAGAGTCAGGATACAGGATGATCTTGACAGACTGGAAAACTGGGCTAAAACAAATAAAATGAATTTCACTGGGGATAAATGTAAAGTTCTGCATTTAGGTAGGAAAAATCAAATGCATAATTATAGGTTGGGGGAGACTTGTCTTGGCAGTAGTATGTGCGAAAAGGATCTAGAGGTCTTAGTAGACCATACACGGAACATGAGTCAGCAGTGTGATGTGGTTGCTAAAAAGGCAAATGTGATTTTGGGCTGTATCAACAGAAGTATAGTGTCCAGATGACGAGATGTGATGGGTACCACTTTACTCTGCTCTGGTTATCTCACCTAGAGCATTGTGTTCAGTTATGGGAACTACAAGAAGGATATCAACAAGCTGGAACGTGTCCAGAGGAAGGCAACTAAGATGGTGAGAAGTCTGGAGACCAAGTCCTATCCTATGAGGAAAGGTTGAAGGAGACAACTGAGAGGTGATATGATCACTATCTTCAAGTACTTGAAGGGCTGTCATCTAGCGAATGGTACGGAATTGTTTTCTGTTGCCCCAGAAGGTCAGACCAGAACCAAAAGATTGAAATTAAATCAGAAGAGTTTTCGGCTAAACATTAGGAAGAACTTCCTGACAGAGCAGTTCCTCAGTGGAACAGGCTTCCTCAGGAGGAGGTGGTGGGCTCAAACAGAGGCTGGGCTTCTGTCAGGGGAAGTCAGCTCCCCTGTTTAGTCCTCACTCACTTGATTAATAAGTATGTGAGAAGGAAAAGGTCTAAATTGTATATTACTTTTTTGGATTTTAAAGGGGCTTTTGATTCAGTTTCAAGGGAAGTTCTTTGGGTAAAGCTTGAGGGACTGTCTTTAGATAAGAGGTTATTATTTCTTATTAAAAACTCTATACCTCTACGTCCTGTCAGGTTAGGTGTACCCCGTCAGGGAGACTTTCCCCTCAAATCCCTATTGGGAGGGGGGGTTAAGCGGGGGTGCATTTTAGCCCCCCCCCAACTTGTTTAATCTTTAATGATTGTGCCCCTTTTCTGTCACTAGTTGATGGCCATAGCCCTAGACTCGGCTGTTCTCTTATTTGCTTGCTATTATATGCAGACGACACCATTCTTTTGTCTACATCCCCTGTTGGATTAAACCGCTTATTAAATTATTGCCACAAATATTGTGTGATTAATAGATTGGAGCTGGACTATGACAAATCAAAGATATTGGTCTATCCCTATTCCCAGAAATTATATAAGTGGACTATTAATGGCAATAAATTTGAACATGTCACACACTTCAAATACTTGGGCGTCCACTTTCATTCTATTGCTACTTGGACCCATCACCGCAGAATGGCTATTAATGTAGCTAAAGTCAGTGCTGCAGCAATCTCTCGTTTTTATTCTGACCATGGAAACCAATATGTGCCAGCTGGGGAGGTATTTATGAATTTCCTGCAATGTGCAGGGGGTTGGACTAGATGACCTTGGAGATACCTTCCAATTCTATGATTCAATGGTAAAATGTTATCCTGGATGCAGAGTACCAAGTGCTGCTGAAAAATGATCCAGTCCAGGCTCTTCATCACTGCCAGCAAATCTCAGATGCTCTTTCATGTGATTATACTGAACAAAAAAGGTTCTGGCCTATTTCTGTGAAATGCCAATAAAGGAATTAGTGTGTGTGTGGGTCTGGCCTAATTCTTTTGTGATTGAAGACAGGTGTGTGTTTTTAGACAACTCGGAATTAGAGATGGG